CTCAGTGGTCCAAAGTCCTCTTTTCAGATAAAAGTAAATTTTGCATTTCATTTGGAAATCAAGGTCTAGAGTAAGACTGGAGAGGCACAGAATCCAAGCTGCTTTAAGTCCAGTGTGAAGTTTCTAAAGTCAGTGATGATTTGGGGCGTCACGACGTCTGCTGGTGTTGCTCCATTGTGTTTTATCAAGTCCAAAGTCAATGCAGCCATCTACCAGGAGATTTTGGAGCACTTTATGCTTCCATCTGCTGACAAGCTTTATGGAGATGCTGATTTCCTTTTCCAGCAGAACTTTAGCACCTGCCCACAGTGCTAAAACCACTTCCAATGATATTACTGTGCTTGATTGGCCAGCCAACATGCCTGACCTGAAGCCCATATGGAATCTATGGGATATTTTCAAGAGAAAGATGAGAAACAGTGGGTCCGAGCTGAAGACTCAATAGTCCTCAGCAGAGCCACAGGCTGATCGCTTCCATCAACACCTCACTGATGCTGGAGTTTGTACTAAACGAGCCCCGACCAAGTATTGAGTGCATAAATGAACATACTTTAAAGAACCTGAGCTTTTCTGTTTTGCAAATCCTTTTTTTGGTTGATCTTAGGAAATATTCCTAAACGTCCTGAAGACGTCGGAGCGTGGTGACTCTCGATGCACTAACTCCAGCTTCAGTCCACTCCTTGTGAAGCTCTCCCAAGTGTTTGAATCAGCTTTGCTTGACAGTATTCTCAAGCTTGCCGTCATCCCTGTTGCTTGTGCACCTTTTCCCACCCAATTTCTTCCTTCCAGTCAACTTTCCATTTAATATGCTTTGATACAGCACTCTGTGAACAGCTGCTCTTTCAGTAATGACCTTCTGTGACTTACCCTCTTTGTAGCTTTATACTGTAGGGATGGTCATTTAATGAATCTCAAACGTAAATATTCTAATATTTTGAGATACTGGATTTTTGACTTTCATGAGCTGTAAGCTCTAATCATCAAAATTAAAACAAACAAAAAAAAACTTTTGAAATGTTTTACTTTACATGTAATGCATCTAGAATATATGAAAGTTTCACTTTTTGAAATAAGCTACAAAAAACTTTCACGATATTCAAATTTTTTGACATGCACCTGTATGCTTCAGAAAAATATATGTTATGTTTATATATTAAATATATTTATAATACAAATTATATGAATATAAATAAACATGTAAATACATGTAAATATTTTCAAAATATATACGGTGTATTTATATATACATCATTTAACATTTACATTTAAACATTTAGCAGATGCTTTTATCCAAAGTGACTTACAAACGAGGACAATGGAAGCAATCAACAAAAGAGCAATGATATGCTAGTGCTATAACAAGTCTCAGTTATCTTAACGCAGTACACGTAGCAAGGTTTTTTTTTAATAATATAATAAATAAAAAGAAAACAAATAGAATAGAAAAAGAATAGAGCAAGCTAGTGTTA